AAAGTGATTCACGTTATATAATTGGTGAGGTGATTCTGGGTGATTTAAGCAATATCATATCAATGACTTGCACGTGCAAAGCCGATTTAAGAGAACGTTGCAAATACATTATTGCAACTTTGTAGTATTGCAGCAGGTAGGTTCTTAACCTCAAAATACTTATATCGTATCATTAGAATTCTGTTAAATCAATTACACAGGAATAAATAATTTCTCACTTTATAATTTTAGTATGATTCTAGTTTTAAATATTAAGGTTATGGCTGATGGTAAATACTTGCTGAAATATAATCATGTGCATTAAAATGACGTGAACAAGTTTTTATTCCGGAATTCACTTCTTTGATACCTACTGCTTTCATCCAAGCTTCTATTAGTTTACTTTTTTCTCTAATTTTCGGAATATATTTTTTACATATATAAAACGGTTAGTTTTTATTGGAAAGTAGTTAATGTAGGTGAAGAATGAAGATCTATGTCTGAAGTGCTATTGCAGCTTTTCACTGAACATATTAACTTTTTATTTGATTTAACTTTAGAAGAAAACTCCATCATCAAAATTTTTTTACTTTTTTAACGTGTTTTATTATTTTAATAAACAATTTTACAATTTGCGTGCACAGTTCCTACGTAAATTTTTCCCTCATTCGAGTTATAAATTTTGCCACCAGATGGTGTATGCGCATTTGACGGACCCCAATTAGTATTATTTATATAGCAGGAATAATAATAATGATCCAAAAATTATATTAATGATTCTGATAGAATCATTATATCAGAGATGAGTTAGCTGATTGATATACTAGCTATTATTCTGGTAGCCGATTGTCAAACAAAATAATTGATAGAACAGTGCACTATTATAGGAATTATAGTAAACGAGTGCTGGGATGTGTGACGATAGCAAGCATGGGATCTCCCAGGAAAAATCAGGCATCTACGAGGAGATTATTCGTGCGTTGATTAGACACAAGTAATGATCGCTCTGTTTTATATAATAATTGTCGCTCCGTGTGAATTGACTCAAACAATAAAGTGTCCTGACAGTACATGTAGGTGAGATCTGCTGACAATTTGTCGAAATGACAATTTTCGAATTATTGGTTGCTACTAACAAGTTACCTTCTGAAATCTGTTAAAATAGTTCCTTATGGGCATATCCACCACGGGCCACACGAGGTGCGTGACGCTGTGACGCGTGACGTTACACTTTTCGATTTTATACCTAGTTTCACGTCAAAAATTAGCAAGGATTTCACTGTCTGATTTTAAAAGGGTGCAGTTCTTTTAGGTTTGCGCAAAAAAAAATTAAAAAGAAAGTTGTGACTTTATGTCAAGCAAAAGAATATACATACTTAAGGAATTTTTCAGCATCCTTTTGTTGCGCCTTCCTTGGTAAAGAAAGCAAAAGACTTAAATTTTAATAACTCTTTTTAATGCAAGTTGCTTTTCGTTTTTTTGCCCCTCTTTCTTTCTTACTCTCTTTTTCGTGGACGGATATCAGAGAGCGGATGACAAAGTTGAAATAGAAAAATTTTCATTTCGTTTTGAAGCGACCATCACGACCGCCTCGCCGCAGAGCCAACCACTAGCGCCCACGGCGTCACCCGATTCATATCGCATTCAAATAGGAACGGAGTCTGGGTCTTCCTTCCGTCTATTCACTAAAATGTAAATACGAAGAGCTTTTCAAAACAAAAGAGAATAAATGATATTATTGTGACGCGCTCGGACTGGTTACAAAAACAAGGGTTATTGAAAATTTTACTCTTTTCTTGTTATAGAAGAGGAATAAAACCAAATAGGGACATCTGTGTATGTACTATGCCTTTTGATGTTTTGTATGGTCTGGTAGTAGCAATTGAATGAAAACGATAAATTGAAACTGCAGCAGTCGAACCATCCAACATCAATTCTTGCTTATTATACTGCTTTTAAAATTACTTTCTTGATGTAATAAAATAAGTAGAAATGATAATAGATAATTTTATTCAATCATTTGATTTAAGTACTTACATTTATCTTCACATAATTTTTATTGGCTTTGCTCTGCAGAGCATAATGCAATACAGACTTATCTACAAAAATTTATGAATTCATACTAATGTCATTACTAGATATATTTTTTCTTAATATACTTCGAATGGTTTAATAGTTATAATGGTCTTGTATCCTATTGTTTTTTAAATATTGTAGCGAGCACACAAACACACTGTGCGATCGGGCACAAGTGTGCGTGAACGGCTTATCGATTCGCCGACTAGCCGCGGGCGCCTTTCTTCATGTGCGCCGTATTTGTAAATGTGTGTCGTACCTGCGTTCTGAGAAATCAGTTAAACAGTTCCAAAGAAAAAATAAACGATCCGGATGTTTCCAGAAGGCTCCAGAAAGTAAACAAAAGAGTATTTAAAGGAAGAGACGATCGCCGAAAAACAAGTAGAAATAAATTGACCGTCGTAGAAGTGAATCGGGAAATAAATTGACAGTGATAGCAGTGAAATAAATAGCGCAGTGAATAGTGATATATCAACAGTAGTGTAAATAAATAGAATAATTCATAACCTAAGTTTAGTAATAATTTAATAGTGTTTTTAAGTTCTTTAATAATTAATGTAAATAAATAGTTTTTATCGTTATCAGTCTTAGAAGTTAATTTTGTTAAACCCTCGATTATTACAATATTATTTTTTTTAAATTTTAATCTCAAATTGCTAAGCGAAACCCTCGTGATTCCGAGATGTTGGGACCGTGATGTCTAAAAGTAGTAGACCTTTAACGACATTAACAAAAGCCATGTAACTATATATACTTATGCTTTTTCGTAGAAATAAAACGGCGAACAATTTATTTTCATTTTCGGCAAAAGTATGTTTTCAACCAGTCGGGTCGGTCGGTCGATTAAATATTTAAACAAAATAAGTAATTAGTAACGCGATCCTTATTTACGGGCCGCATTTTGTTAAGGCAACGGTCCAGACATCTCGAAACCGTTTTTAAAATTTATAGTGGCTAGATTAGGGAATATTTATGTTTTTGTGCGGTCCTTTCGGGTGAATTTATTGAGCCAGCTATCTGAGGAACGTTTTTTCTCGCTTTTGGGCCGTAACTTTACGGTACGGTATAATGATGCTTGCAATATTTAGTGGCCTGTGCTACATAAAGATCGTGCAATTCCAAAACGGAATTACCACGATGACAATTCTGAAGAAGTAAATTACGATTTAAGTCAAACAAATGTTTTTTTATCTTTTTTGTAATTAATTAAAAATGAGCCGAGCAGCCGCAGCCATTAATGAAAGATTGAACAGCTTTCTGTTATTATTCATATTTCGCAGTTTTAAAAAATCACTTTCTTTTTATGAAGGTTTTTACGGTTTCAGAGCTGAAAGTATAATTAACTTTTTATCACACAACAGCTGAGGATATTTTTAGGGTTCCGTACGTCCGAATGAAAAACGGAATCCTAATAGGATCACTCGTGCGTCTGTCTCTCCGTCTGTCAAAGACAATGTTCTCAGGATCTACTGGGCCGATTAAGTTGAAATTTAGTACAATTTCTGAGACCCAAACACGGGCGCAAGACGTAAACAAATTAAGTATAAAAAGGAATCTAACTTTGTTGGTTGTTGTATAATAATTATTACATTTCAAGACTCTAATTTAGATTTGATGTTGACACAGTGACTTTTGTTCGTTCTTTTAGTCTGATGATGACCGAAATTGCCGGTCGAAATGTTGCACTGTCATAAATCAATCCAGAACTATTGTTGGTTCATTAAAATTAATTTTGAACATGGAGGTCATTTTTGGGAAGCCAATAGGATATAAAAAAAAAAACATTTTGCAAACTGTACCGTGTGGCATATCAAATGAAATAGGTTGTCTACGGGTCTCAAATAGTTTTAAAGTTATTTAAGAAAATAGATGAAAATTACAGGAGAATTAAGGATGTTTGGGAGGTACAATCGGAGACAAGAGTACATAAAATTAGAAATTCGCGATTAATTGGGTTTTGCAGCATATCATGAGGTAAATAAATACTA